GGAACATTTTATGAAGAACTGATTTTTCTATGTGGCTCCCTATAATCAACGCTTATCTTGAACTTAACATTTAACATTGAAGAAACTGAAATTATGCTCGCGAACTACCTCAAGCTCTTCACCTTTTTTCGATTTTGGAGTGCCGAACACAAATTTAAGCTTCAATTAATTTGAAAATGTTTTAAAAACAGGAATTCCAAATCCTTTCCGACTGACGGGGACGAATTGCAGCGGCTGATGGCCTCTCCTTCTCTCGCCAACAGTGCGGGAGGCATTCGGAGGCGACAAACCGTAATTCGCTCGCATGTTTTCGACACTTTAACTTCCCTCTCAGCGTTCTTTCTGAGCCTTAAACAAAAGGTCCTCCCTGCTTATGCTTAAACAAAAAAAAAAACGCCAGTAGATGGGCATGCGGTATTTTTCCAAGAGCGTTTCCTGTATTTTGTGACCTTCCGCCTACCCCAGTAATGCTCTCTGGTGAAAGGTCAGATGATCGTTTGTGTACCAGGTAAGATTTGCACCGATGCAACCCGTCAAGAAAGTGAAGAAGTTCGTAATTCCCAGCTACTTTGAACGAGTTGCACCAGCACAAATTTCAGGTTTTCCGAAACGGTTGGCTGCCTTCCTCACTAAAGAGCGTGGTGGTGAGAGAAGCCAGAGATGATCAGCCAATGCAACTCGTCCGTTCAGTGCAGAAAGAGCCCGGGTTTTTTTTGGAATTCACACGCTGAATGAAATTTATAAGCGTTAGCACACCGCAATGTTCCAAAGAGAAGGAAAGAACTCACAGTGGAGATTTTCCCGGACATTGCTTTTGAGAGAGAAAGAGTTCAAATAATGACTAAACTCACTTTTCTTCTAAGTACAGCATTCTCTTCAATTAATGTAGACAAGCGACATTCTGCTACTTTACATTCCTTCCGTAGCTTTGTCAATTCGTTTGACAGTCGATCGCAGTGTGTTCTCAAGTGCGTACACCGCTGATTCACAAGTTGCAATTCGGAACCCAATTCAGATTCAACGCGTTCGCGGTCATCCAACAAAGCTGGAGCAAAACATTTTATCGATTATCGCAAAGCAACGCGTAAGCCATAAACAGAGAAGTCCAAGCATAACATAAAGTAAACAATTACACTCACATTGACATTTGACACGAAGCTCCGCTGTCTCCCTCATACTGTCTTTAATTTTGGATGAAAGAGATGACACTGCGAGCTTCTTTGCGTTGTTTGATTCATCAATCTCCTTCTGTAACTGCAAGTGAAAAATTAACCCGTTATGCAATCTCGAGTACTTATATAATATATACAATGAGATACACAAATACTGAGACTAAGATGTTCAAGTTTGCACTAAGTTCACTTTGAATAATGTGATAATACTTATAAGAAACACGCTCTTGCCGTTATCGGAAACGACATTACCTGCTCATTCCTGGTTTTTTGGAAATCCAAAGCCATTTGTAAAGCATTAGATGAGCGCTGCTCACGTGATAGATCAAACTCGAGCTAAACTCGTTCATCATTCAATGCTGAGTTTAAAATCTTCGCACAATTCTTCAACCCACTTCCTTCACTCTGTTGCGAAGTTGGACAATAGAAGTAACTGGCTTTTCTCCAACTTTCTCACGTGTCTCGTCTAGTTCCTTCTCCAATCTCTCTTTCTCAACCTGAACGATCAAGATAGAACACCGCAAAAATGGTGGATAAACCATATCATATTACTTGCAGAACTTCTACCGCAGCAAGCGCATTCGCAATCTTCTGTTGAGTAGATGCAACAAGTGCATTTGCTTCGTTTCGCGACTCTTCCTTAATGAATAGTGATATTAACTGAGAGTGCATAAGGTATGAAAGATTTCATATAGTGTAGTACGACATCAAAAAAATTATTTTGTTCCTCATTCTCTGCAATCAAGTCTTAATTATACAAATGCAATGCATACAAATCAGCTTTTTTCATAAGAACAGCTAAAAGTATTTCCAATAATGTTATTAACGGAGCCAAGACTGCGATGCTGCACTTTTAGCGAAATCTGGGAGTCTCGACTACATCAACAGAACTGAGAAAATTGATGCAGAAGCCCTTTCAAATGTCAACTGTGTCTTTATTTTATTCTATAACGCTGAATTCCATATGGCGAGTGGCTAGGATGAAAACAGAGGATACCACATCCCGAGAGCCGTGAAGAAATGGTGGATAGTAGCTGTCACCACAATTGTTTAATCATGTCCAAAACAAATATTCGCTTATCCTGAGTATCAACCAAACTTTAAATCAACCCTCAAAATCATTTGTCGAACTCAAGCTTACTGGAGTAGGAGACTGTTACAAGAAGGAAAATTTGGTACACAAGAAAATTCGAATTCTGTCTCACTTTTATATATGACAACAATGAAACCCAGAAAAGATTCTAACATCTTTAGAAAATTCTTAGCGACTACTGTTCACAAAAGCCGCTAAGGAACTATATCCAAAGAACTCCAGAAAAGACTGCACACAATCGAAGATAGCTGAGGGTTCAC